ACTAGTGACCCCCAAACCTGACCATTTTGGGTACGTATCCAACAGCAACCACACTGGAAAATTGGGCCAGGTTATCTCCTCAAACAGACATTTTAATTTATAGATATAAACACGTAAAGAATCAAAGTGAAAGTACACACATACTCAATATTTCAGTGTGATTGTTTATGCATTGATGAAGTTACATGTTCTGTAATATTTTACTTATAGAGATATAAACAAATTCAAAAATTAAAGCTTGGTCATCAATGTAATTATCTAGGCTTGTGTCTCGTCGGCTCCTAGTTCTTCTGTCGACATTTACATGACCTCAGAGCCTCTCCTCGTCAAAAGTGAAGCTAGGTCAAGGGTCAAAGCGACTTCAGGTATTTCTTATCGTTGTTGCCTTCTCATAAATCTCCAGCAAGTTCGTTAAGAAGAACTTCTCCAAAACCTTTGTTGATGTTCAGTGAAAATACTTGCAATGATTTCCTTCTGATTATCTTCAGTGTTTTGCAAGGTATGCAAGTGAGACTGACATGTAGTTTACGGGGACTCCTGCTTTTTGAATTCCTTGAATATAGGCAGCAAATTATTTCTATACATTCCACGAGGAGTTTACCTTTGAGGTGCTGTAGATCATTACCGATGATGTGATGAGCACGTCGGTGCCTTCCTTTAGGGTTCACGGGGAAACTTTTTTTAGGGGCTCATGCTTTTTCTTTCATCCAATTCCGATAATTGCTTCATTACTTCCTCTGATGTAATCCTGTCAGCTAGATGCACAGTCTTCCTTGTACGTTGTGGCAGTTCATATTCATTTTTGATCGTTTGCTAAAAAATTTCATTGTGTACGGAGCTATTTCTTGTCAAGCTGTGTGTGTGTGTTGGCTTCAGGAGGGCACCATACTTGACCTCATTTGCTGGCGGAGAAATTTTGACCTTAGAGAAAGGATGGGCCGTACCGGAGGTCAGATTTCCTCACGTATCCTGACCTCTCGATGACCTGATTTGGTGATACAGATAACAGCTGACGCCTCGTGCTTGTGTGGGCGTCTGGCTACTGTACAAAATGGGTTCCACAGCGGGGCATGAGTCTATGGTGAACGGAATACCTCTGGAGTATTCCATGAGAATTCCAAGGGTTCTACTCCACAAGCCTCGCTTAGGGCCAAGCTTTACCTTGTGGTAACTTGATCTACCTGGAGTATACCTGCGGTAGGTCTTGAGTCGGATATAAGGGAAGTTAAGATGGAACCACCCTTGGGAATGAGTGATCATAGTGTATTGAACTTTGAGTACCTGGTAGAGCTAGGAATTTTCTCCCCCCAAAAAAGAACTAGGAAACAAAGGGCTGTCGTACCGAATGGGAAATTATGAGATGAGAAAATTCTTAAGGGTCTTGAGAGTTCGTCTACTTCAGCTCGGCCTGGGGCCAGGCTTCACTTGTTGTAACATAATGTAAAGTTCTGCTGCCTAGAGCTGCTCGGAGGCTCACGTATCAGTTACCTCCCAGTTGGTACGGTACTTTCTGAAGGAACTTGTCTAATTCCTTACTGAAAACGTCGACGTTCCTGCGTGTATGGGAGACTGTATAGGCCTAGTGTGTGTGTGTAGAGAGAGCCTGGAAGGTAGGTCTATAGGAAGGAAAGAAGGTGAGGTTCGGTTTTGAATTACGTTAATGAGGTAATTAGGCAACGATTGTTTAGGGAGTGATCTGAGTGATGTTGTGGGTGTTCTGAGGGTGATGTTGTGGGTGTTCTGAGGGTGATGTTGTGGGTGTTCTGAGGGTGATGTTGTGGGTGTTCTGAGGGTGATGTTGTGGGTGTTCTGAGGGTGATGTTGTGGGTGTTCTGAGGGTGATGTTGTGGGTGTTCTGAGGGTGATGTTGTGGGTGTTCTGAGGGTGATGTTGTGGGTGTTCTGAGGGTGATGTTGTGGGTGTTCTGAGGGTGATGTTGTGGGTGTTCTGAGGGTGATGTTGTGGGTGTTCTGAGGGTGATGTTGTGGGTGTTCTGAGGGTGATGTTGTGGGTGTTCTGAGGGTGATGTTGTGGGTGTTCTGAGGGTGATGTTGTGGGTGTTCTGAGGGTGATGTTGTGGGTGTTCTGAGGGTGATGTTGTGGGTGTTCTGAGGGTGATGTTGTGGGTGTTCTGAGGGTGATGTTGTGGGTGTTCTGAGGGTGATGTGGGTGTTCTGAGGGTGATGTTGTGGGTGTTCTGAGGGTGATGTTGTGGGTGTTCTGAGGGTGATGTTGTGGGTGTTCTGAGGGTGATGTTGTGGGCTTGGGAGATAGAGAAGAGCAGACTGGGTTGTGTAGTCTGAATGAGAGCCTAAGGGTATATAGAGGTGTCGGCCGGGTGTATTTAGGTTTATGTGTATGTTTAATATTTGCTACTTGTACCTACAAGATCGAGCTGTTAGCTCTTGGACCCCGCCTTTCTTACAATCGGTTGTCTAATATTATCTCGAGGTTATCTTGAGATGATTTCGGGGCTTTTTACTGTCCCCGCGGCCCGGT